TATGGGGTGTTTCTCAACAACCACAGTGATTTTCATAATCAGAGCTCAATGACTAACCAAAATTAAGACTTGGAAATCAAAATTTACTGGCACAAAACGTTAAAATCTCATATTGCAAGAAGCGTGAGATATTCTAATAAAGAAACTTGGTGCAGAAATACAATTCTGAGGACTACCCTTAAAAAGCTGTTCTCTGTTCTGTACCTCTTGCTTATTCTGCGCGAATGAAAAAATGATTCGAAAATTTGGAATTACTGCTTAGGAAAATCAAATCGAAGGACTATAGTTGGATGATTTGTGATTACTTAAAAATTGTGGGACTTCTGCTAGGTCAGTAGTCGGAATACCCCTAATTTTTGTGTTATTGGGCCAGTATAAACGACATCAACAATGGGTGAAAAAGAACTGGCCAAAAAGCGTTAATTTAACTCTTACTTTGAACAAAAAATCTCTTACCACCGTTGCATATTAAGTTAGAACTGATAAATCAATACGTTAAAGACTTAAATAAAGATGGAAAGGATGGATTTTTGTAGGTCATCAAATAAGACTTAAGATTAATAGAAAATCAAGATCAGAAGTGCCGAACTTTTTGAAAACTGGCTTCGAAATCATGTTTGAATATTTCGTGTAACAGTTTAATTGCAATGGATAGCGGCAGCCATTGTAGTCGCTTGCTACGAAAAGCACCAAATTCAGAAATATTTTTTTGAAAATGATATTTACTTTAAATCCACATACAAAAAAAGGAAACGTGATAATTTAAGGCATACTGTACCATATCATTGTATATTTAACTCCATGGAACATTTATGGCACCAAATAGAGTAAAATTTGAGAGCAGAAAATATTACTCCCACTTTAAGTCCCAGTGTTGTAAATTTAATTGAAAATATGATTAATAATATACCAATTGAGCAATACAGTACGTAGACATCAACAAAAGGTAAGACGCCGGCGCAAGTAATCTTAATGACAACTCTGAGAGTGAAACATTAGATTTTGAACAAAAACCGATTTTTTACGGTAGTATAATACGACCAAAAATATAGTGCATTTATTGCTTTGATGTTTTAAGTATTTTACACTACCTTAAGCATAGACCTTCGCAGGACCGTAGTAAAACCCATCCCAACAGATGTTTATTCAGCATTAAGTAGGCCTTGCCTAAGATGGACCGTAACGAATATTTGTAGAATTTTGAAATTTTTATTTGAACCGTAAATGGACCGTTTTAAATTTGATTAAGCATTGATGCTATGTGGAAATAAGTAGAAGCGTTTATTTTAACATCAGGTGATATGTACCGTTCTTAAGAGTTTAATCTAAATTGCAATATGTTCATATATATTACGGAGGTATTTGACTGTGATCCTTCCAGTAAGCACGTATTTATGCACCTGATTCTCGACCTTTGACCCTGCGAGGCTGTTTTCACTGGATAGTTCAAAGGGTAATGGTAAGTACCGGTACTCTATTTAACTTACAGGTAAGTTTGAAAATAATCATTTTTGTCTTGTGTGCTTTTCGATTAACAACATTCTTCTTCTTGTATTTTTGTGTTTCTACATAGTTCTTCTACTTGTAAACATGAACAGCCTTTTTTAAGACCATAGATTATATTCGCGGTAGATAAAGGTACGTCATAAGAATACAGATAAATATTTGTTTTGATTGAGTTGACTGTTACTTGATGATAATCCATTACATACGTAATTTAATAAAAAAAAAACACTTGCTTTAAGATTACCACACACACGTTTATTGCTTTGATAATTGTTTCGGTACACTGTACCTTCTTCAGAAAGAATCTCTAACTAACTATCACAGACTGTCCATACAGTAAGTAGAATCTTTATCTAAGGGTTTAAGAGGGGAGAATTATTTAAGCCGGTTTGATCGTTTAGTAGCAAACTTGTATATTTCTGTTTAATAATTTCTATTGTTTCTAATAAGTTAAGTTTTTTGCTTTTGCCTTGACTATATAATATTTTAACATCTTTATTGAAGGAATATCCTGTGTCTATTTTCAGAATTCAATAATGAACTTTTGTGTTCTTGAATCCGTTTCTTGAAACTTCTGCCTGTCTGACCTATGTGTATTTTTGGACAAGATCCACATGTTAATTTTTATACTCCCGACTTACATGTGTTTTAACCCTAGATGAACTGCATAAAAACGTACTAACAGACCTAAATATTAGTTATGCCAAAGGGTAGTTGCGTACTTTTTTGAAGAAAATGGATTTTCAGTTCCAAATAATTAATAAACGTCAAATGCTAATGGCGTCTCAAAGAATGTCGCAATGGAGGGTGGATTATTTAAATGCAATAACGATTTTTTAAGCTACTGATACCTTATTATTATTATATCTAATATTTTGTATATCGATAATGATACTATGTAGAAATGCAATGAAATAGAACGTAATAAATTACTCGGCGAAAAAGTTTGAAAACATAATTAGATCCCGCGGGTCCAACAATAAGGTTAAGGAATCCGAGATGTGGGACGATGTCTACTAGAAGTATGGAAAGCAGCCGTTTATTGGATTTTAATTATTTCTAAGATTTTCGGAAATAAATAAATATTTTGAAATATTGGTGTATACCGTGTCCCATTTTGATCCGTTATTATTGAAGATAAAGCCTTGCGCTTTCGCAAAATTTAATTCCGCTTGGTATGAGCTTCTCAAAAATGTATAAATGTTTTGAGGTCATTTGTTAAATTAAATTAAATCATTAATTAATTTCATTGATAATAATTATTTCAAAAATTAATCCATTTTCTCTAATAACACTTACGGAAAAAACCGCACATCAAAACATCCCTTTCAAAGAAGTGAAGCACTCTTGTAAAAAAATAAATTTGCTTTGTCGTCTTATCAAAAATATTGAAGAATAGCTATTAAAACGAAAAAACCTTTTAAAAAGGGAAAAATACGACATAATTAAATGCTTGAATATTTGCGAAAAGAATGTCACTGACGCAACTTTAAGGTTTCCAGAGGGACCACAACCAAATTGTGCTAAGGAGAATTTGTTTAGATTTGGTGGATCCTATTCAAATCCTCGTCCAAAGAAATAGGCGATCAAATATTTTTGATACCTAAACGTAGAACAGCATCATATCAGCATCCCTTGAGTTATCTACTTATCATATTCTCCTCGCATTCCTGTTGATTTTTCATCTCCTCTCTAATTTTTTTTTGCCTGGATGAAGAAATCGTATTTTTCAAAAGTATTTATGCTAGTATAAAAATTTTATATCTCACAAAAATCGGAAAAATGTGTTCTTTTAATTAAAGTTCGCTATAACTAAAAGGGTATGTCTCAGTTGTCAGTTTCTTTCGCATAGACTGTATGGAGTGCTAAAGCTTTTGTATTTAAGTTGTTCGCATATTATTCAGGGTGTTCTAAATAATTTGGGCTATATTAAAAAATATAATAGGTGTCTCAAATTTGCTGCGATCGACTTCAAATTTGGCAGAAAAGTAGAAGTTTATGCCCACATCTAAACTGTAGAATTTGAAAGAAATAAAATCTCGAAATGTATTTTTAACAAAATGTACCCGATCGTCCAAATTCTGGAACCAAGAAACGCGGGAGATCCAAAATCCAAAATGACATTTACTATTACGACCCATAATAACAGAATGAAAGTATTTTCTCAAAAACCATTTACTTTATTGAAAAAGTTTAAGGACCATTAAATGTCGGATATCCAGGTCCATAACCTTTACTTCGAGAAATTTATGGATTATATGTAACTATATGTTATATATAATCTAAAAGATCCTGAAAATTACCATGTTATAATGTATGCAAAATATTGGCCATAAATGAACTGTAAAAGACAAGATAATTTGGTTAAAAACCGCATTTACAGTTGTTGTCTATTATACAGAGTGCGCAAGATAATTGAAAAAATTTTGGAAAGCGCTATTACTGCTTTTTGTATTTAAGAAATTTGGCCTTGACTTTGAAATTCGGCGATACGTGAAAAACACTTTATGCTGCATTCTCAATAAAATTACATTGATTGCGAAAGTAATCTTGTGTTATTGTTGTATTTTAAGAAAAATGTATTCGTTTGTCAAATTTAGCCCCAGAGTAAATAATAACAAATATTTTTTCACAAAACGCATTTAAACTTTTTATTGAGTTTGTTTTTTCTTGCTGCGTATAGTCTTTCTTCAGACGCCCATAGTATTCCTGACGTATCTGCTTTTGTTTTCAGGTTAGGTTAGGTTAGGTTGTCTCGCATTTTGCTAAGGAAGTCCAAAGTACATCTGTGCTGATAATAGTAAATAAATGATTGTATCACATTGCATCCTATGTCTCAAAATAAATATTGAATATATTCCTCAGGCAATATCTAGCGCTTATTACCATACAACACAATATCCCCGACAGGGTTTATGAGTGTGCATTTCGGATTTGGTGAGTGTCACCAATCAAAATTCTGGTATAGTCACCACTATGACAATCAGAAACCATATGCATCTGTCAGGACTGTGGAAAATTACGAGTGAATTGAAGAACAGTTCTACTACTACTAAAAAATTGTTTAAAATGATTGATAATCTTAAGCGACTGTAACCGTCTACTACTCCAACTTCGAATATTATCTCAACCAGAAAAAAAAACTAAAAAGCAAAGTGGTGTCAAAAAGGGTAAAAATCGCTCCTTTTAAAAGCTTATTTCATCTTAATCCTGATGTGATAGTTATTTTACTATTCTTAATAGCTTTGGTTAGTTAGGACTTTTTTTTCTCAACAAAATTAACTGAAACTATTTCCAGCTTTCTTGACCCACTAAAGATTTTATAATTGTTTTACGATTTTTTTTAAGATCAATGATTTCTGAGGTACTAGGAAATGTAGATGGTAAATTTTTTTTTTATGTTCCGAATATTTAATAATAAAGGGGTAAGCAAATGTTACAACAATATTAAAACAAACTCGTTAAAATACGCATACTATCGTTTATTTCGAATATGCAGAGCCGTGACTTCTCAGATCTAAAAATATGACAACTCTCCGGGAACAGAGGGCAGAGAAGTTGGGTAAACCCCCTACCGACTTCAAAACATTGTGACTAATAAATTAAACCGTAGCAATTAGTGATTAGTAACAGTTTTAAGTATCAGTAATTGCTTAGAGTTTCCAAGAATGAAAATTTCAAGCAATTGCTTTGTCGACTGGTTGTTTACTATGGTTTACTAGGGGTGTCTCTGATCCAAACGTCTTTTGTTAGTTGTAATTGCTGGGTTTATATTTACTTATAAAGGTGTTAAATAACATATAAAATATGTAATTACATTAGGCCTAAAACAGGTATTTAGAATCCGATAAACGGCTGTTGTCCGTAATTATAATACACATTCTCCCACATCGCGGATTCAGCATCCCTGTCGCTGGTTTTCACTTGAAGCGTATCGTCTATATCCAAATATCGGGGATTCGTAGACGCGAATTGCGGCCATTTTATGCTCAGCAGTGGATCCGCCTCGTCAGGAGTGGGATTCCTGAAAATAATTTAGATATACTTATATGCAGAGTGGAAAGACCTATTAGAAATAACTCAAGAATAAGTGTAAACTAAGTAAATAATTGAATTCGACATGAGCGGCGGCCTTTTGTCAAGGTTCATCAGTTACCGCCAATAATTTAATCCAAAAAATAACAATCTTTTATCTTTTACTAATCACCGAGACACCCTGTATATTTTTGACTATTTGGTTTACTGTCCCAATTCTATCCCATCTTCTAGTTCGAGAGCTTTCTCAATTTTTTCCTATCCCGAAAAAAAATTTTCAAAATATTTTCGAAAATATGTCGCGATTTTCGATTTGCCCCTGTTTCTACAGGTTCCATTAGGCGATGGACTTTCAACTTCCTGTAGAGTTTCAACGCGATAACTCTACTTTTGGAATACTTATTTTGTGTCGTAGCGACTTTCGAAGCGAAAATAAAAAATAGCCAATAAAAATGGCTGTCGATGCCGGAAGCATTCAATTTTTTGCTGGCGGTTGTGTATAGTCGAGTATTAAAACTGAGACAAATTTCAATCTCCTAGCTAGACCGTTCATAAGTAATCAGACTTCAAAAAATCACAAGGGTCCGTTACGGAGAACACAGTATTCCTATCCATAACTACGGACGACTACCTCCTAGGACTTACAGTTGCCGAAACCTCGATATTAGTGATTAGAGCGCTTCGCGGAAATCTTACAGTCAGGACAATATTTACGTACACCGTGTGCCAAATAAAACAACAAACTACACGATCTGAAAACCCATAGGACATACGTACAAAAGTTTTTTCGACTCTCCCGAAGATTTAAAATATTATAATGTTGTTGATACAGAGTGTCCTAAAAATGTCTCCTCTGAAATCAACGTTGTTAATTTAAATAGAACAATTTGGAAAATTTTTGGAATCCTTGGTTAAAATAAAGGTCAGTTTCTTAAGAAATTCCTATTCAAATATTGCACAGTTTAGGCAGAAATTGAGGTTATGTGTTTTTTTTTTTCATATTTCAATTGCCCTATATAAAATTGTGACGCTACTGATCCAGGAATTGCAACGAAAATTCAACCACAGACTAAGGAGATGATGCACTACTCAACTAGTTTGAGAGATGTGCCTCAGCTTATACAGGGTGTCCCAAAGAGTGTCCCGAAATTTTTATTCAGATATCAATTTTAGGATAAAAAATAAGGTAAGTTTGTAATTTATCTTATATTTAAATTTTTCTTACTTTTTGAGATATTCGATTAAGATAACACCTGTAAAGGCATGATCCTACTTCTTTCAAACATATAATACTCCAGATATACGAATAAAACCCATTGCTAACAATACGAAACTTTTTTTCGTATCTCCTATGGGTTTCCAGATCATATAGTGGGTCGACTTATTCTTTTTCGAAGCACTTCTAATAGCCACTATGAGCCAAAAACCGAGTCTCTGTAAGGCAAGGAATTTTTGATACTTACAAAGTTTTAACAAAGTTTGCCCAAAGCCTAACAAGCCTTCTTCTCGCTAAAAAATCGCCGTCCGTTTTCAATTGCACTGGTGTATTAAAAAGGTACGCCAAATCGTCGGCATGCCCTACTTTTCCCGCCCCTATTAAATTAAAACGGTTGGTTAGTTTTGGTTAGCGAAAAAAAAGAGCAAAGTTCAAAATATAAAATCGTAAAGTAATTTGAAATTCTATTACTCCATTTTTTGTTTTCATGGAAACTTCCACAGGCAGCTTTAATACCACGTTTTTACACTTTTTGCTGAGTCGAACTTGCTAACGTTAACGTGACTTCTTCAGAGCTTGACCGACAAAAGGAATCCAGAAGCTTTTTAAAAAGAATCACAGCAGCCTGTGGAAGTTTCTTTGAAAAATGTACTGCAATACTATTTACAAAACTTGTAAATTCGATCATCCTGTTGGCTTTAAGAGAGCTTAACTGTATCGAAGGCGTTGAGAGCTTTTTGGGTAAGTGGTAAATCTGGTTTTGACGTTATATTTCTTAAGAACTTTTGATATATGCTCAGTGATGTTTTGAATATAAGGAAGGATGGCAGTGACAAGCGTGGGATTGCTTTCGGTTCCATTCATCCATCCATTGCTATTGGAAGGTTGTGGTGAAGTGTATTTTGTGATGGAACGCTTAATGTGGAAATTGTTAGAGAGAAGAGCAGATGTAAGGTGTTTTAATTATGAGTTCAGTGACATGGTTTTAGAGCTCTGTAAACAAGAAAGTTGTGGTATTAATTAATTAAAACTAAATAATTTCACCTTCGAATATGAAGTAACTTTGGCTTGGAGTTCCGTAGTAAGAGAACTGATACAAGTATACCGGAGTGTAATTCGACTGCATGCGGGCTTGCTTCAGGATTGACCGTATAAACATGTTGTCGCTCGTGAACTGAAAAAATGGAAATCAATCGAAGCCCTAAATGCAACTACGAAACTACTTACTTGCAAAACTTTGGCGGGATTTAGAAGAAACGAGCCACCTTCCCCGACGTATGTGTCTTTGATGAGGCTCCCGACTTCTACGGTGCTGACGTTTTCCTGAGGAACGAAATCGTCGGGCAATAATTGTGTCGCATCGATGTCGAATTGAAGCCCTTTAACGATAACCGACGATTGAGCTGCAAAAATTATTATGTATCTTATAAAAGGTAAGGGTGACCGAATTACAGTCCGATACAAAACTTCCCTGTTTATTTGTAACTAAAAGATTGCCGTTTATAAACCGAATATGTTTTATAAGGCCATGGAACATATTTTTACTACCATAAAACCTATTTACAGTGTTATAAATAGTATATTATCCAACAAGTGTGGAAACTTTTTTCAGAAATCAAACGATCCAGAATGACACACCATTCAAAGGGAATTTAGTTTCCTCTTAGAATATGATATAAAATGCAAGGTGTTCTATATAAAAAAAATGCATCTTTCATCATTTTCTTCTCTGATAGCCAAAAATGAAGAAAGGTATATGAACGTATTATTCAAAAACAATCGCAACGTACTACCCAACAAAAAATTTCAATGTTGATGCTACTTTCTCGAAGAAGCGGCAACGTCGTAGAGTTAAAATTATGTCAATATAGCATCGCCGCTTATGGAACCAGCTAAATTTTCAAAATAATCCAATGTGCCGTTCGTCGTAACCGTCTAAGATATTATCGACCCTGCATATGACTTTTCATGAAGTTGTTTATGTCTATTTGAAAAAACGTAAAAAAGGAATCCATGTTCGCTTTTTAAAATCATATAGTTTTGGTTAGTTTAGTAAAGTTTGGTTAGTATAAAAAGGTATTTGTAAAAACTTTTGTAACCGCTACAAAACTAAAAGTATGTCAAATGTCATGCAATCATAACCTCACTTTTCAGTTGGGAAGTCGGGAAAACAGTAGGGTCAACCATTTAGTAATTTTCTAATTATTGGACGTACTTGCAAAACTATAAGAACTTAATAAAACCTTTCTTATAATTCTCTCATTAATATGCGGTAAATAATTAGTTGGGCTCCATCCTTGGTTCTAAGGGTTCAGGAGGAGGAATGAGGAGTCAGGGAGGGATAAGGGTTGTAGGAGGGGGTAAGGGTTGGTCGGTTGTTGCTAAGAGTTGTGGTGGATCGAATGACCTTGAGCGGACCAATTTTCGCTAATAAGAACCTTAAATTTTCTTATGGGAATTTACATGTAAAAACGGCCGAAATCACTGTTGAACTGTCATAGACTATCTACTAGTGGAGAACCCAAAAGCAACAGGAATTGATGATAGTTCAGTAGAGCTCGGTTAAACTTTTTAATGCTGTATTTATAACACTTGTACCCAGACAACAAAATAAAATATTCCAAAAAATTACTTTCTTTAATGATAAACTAAATTTTAAACTTCGTCAAAAATCGTCTGGAAGCGTTTTAAATATGGTGATCGTGTTAGAGTAAAGACAGTTTCATAACTAACCCCTGCTAAGTATTGTATCTTTTGATGAAGAGTAAGATAGGCTAATCATAAGTAAATGGACCGTATCTATTCAGATTGGCCGATGAAAGAAGGAAGATCTGACAAGACACCAGAAGGACAACAAACACAAGGGTAAGCGCCTACTTACTGTTTAATCCGAAAGCTAACCCTTCTTCCGAAACGGACCCGATCACAAGCGGTACCTGATTAAAATTGCCCGATTCAAGCTGTGGAAAACTGAGCTCCGTCACGTAGGCTCCTTCAACGTCAGGTTCAAGCACTATACCTGTCTGTAAAAGAATTTTACTTACTACATTTTTTGGAAAGATACGACGATCGTTCAATACATTTTTCCCTTTTCAACTCGACACATTTATCACAAAATAGGTCTTCGTTTGTTCTTCAAGCCCTGAATCCTGCAGACGTCCCGCCAAAATCTCACTTGGCATCTTCAAAACACGAAAACACTTCGAACATTGGGAAGTTATCGGCGATGCGTTTTGCGATTTGTTGTATGGTCTTTTGGCAAAGACGAGCGTTTAAAATTCCTAGACCATCTGAATTGCATTCATCCAAGGATTCAATTCACAATTGAACTTGAAAAGGATAACAGTCTACCCTTTCTAGATTTGCACGTCACAAGGACCGAAGATGGAGACTTGGAACACACCGTCTATAGAACATCAACACACACCAATAGATATCTGAATGCTGAGTCTCATCACCACCCATCACAGATACAGGCAGTGGCAAATACATTAATTGTTCGGTCCTTCAACAAACGAGGAGAACAGAGATGATGAACTAAAGAAAATTAGTATCCGTCTTCGGGCAATAAGCAAACAACAGCAGCCGCAACAGAGGGCGCAGGACGAAACCCCACACAGATCTATCGCTGTTTTGCCATACACCTAGGGGGTTGCTGACAGAATCGGCAGGATATTACGGAAACATCAGATATCTACACCATACAAACCTGATCATACTATTGGTGCAATATTAAGAAACCCAAAATTAAAAATTACTTTGGAAAGCCAAGGAATATATAGTGTGGCTTGCGGATCGTGCAGCTTGACGTACGTGGGACAGACTAATAGGAGGATTTCAGCCAGGCTCGAGGAACATCGATTAGCCATAAAAAATAAACAAACAACATCGGCTTTATTTCAGCACCAACATCAGACAGGCCATAAAAATGATTTCGGCACTTGTAACCAAATAGCTAACATGTCTGATTTTAGGACCAGGATTATACGAGAGGTCGTCCGAACAAATGAATACGACGCTCTGCATTTATCTAATACGGGGAAAACGATAATCAAACGGCAGAGGGATACGCAGCAGCAAACGGGGACATCGCAACTACGATCCGGCGAAATAAACAACGCGACAATTCGGGGGGCGGAGCCGTCTCCCCTCCCGCAGAAGCAGCTCTGTTATCACATTCGGCGCAGGGTATAAATACCGCGCGCATCACTGTTAACCTCCTAGTGTTCGAAGTGTTTTCGGAGCGCGAGCATTGAAGATGCCAAGTGCGATCTAGGCGAAACGTCTGCAGGATTCCAGACAACCGAATAACTTATTTTGGATGTCGTCAGTTTTGTGAGGGGCTACAATGAAAGAAAAAACTCTTTTCTACTACGCCGAGCTTTCGGAAATGTTTATTTCCTTTATCAAAGCTAAAATATGTTATCTGCAAATATTAATAGGTTTAATTACTTACAGTAGAAAATGAGCTAAAAAATGACAAATTAACAATTAGAGATAACATTTTCATCTCTCTTGTAAGGAATAAAAAACGAAAATATTACATCGTGTTTCATACCGCAGAAAAATTTAAAAAGAAGTTCCTCGCACTCAGGGTGACAAGAAAATAGTTAGAGGTTTTTTTCTCCTAGCAAAGGTAAAAAGAAATGGGCATATACGAGGTTTCACCAAAAAATTTTTAAACGGAGAACATTGTCTCAAAGGCTTCGAGAAGTATTCGTTTAGAATACTTTGGTCTTGAAAAGAGTCATTGAAGTTAGAAAAATGGCCCTCACTCTTGTGTGATGTGATCTTTTACATCCCGAGAAATGTGTCCTACGTAATTTTTTTTACACTCATGACAGGGGATGTAATAGACTACCCCTGATTCCTTTAAAGATATATCGGAGTCCTCCAATCCACTGTGCACGTTTCCAATTTTTTTTTGTGAATTTTTGCATCAATCTTAAGTGTCTCTCATCTGACATAATTAAAGGACTGACATTTCTTATGTATGGAACCGCGCGGTATGAGAAAAGATTTCCAGCTACCTCATTATTTCCATTTCAATATTTTCAACTCTTTGAAGTATGTTTCGTCAGCTTGGATGTTGATATGCTCATTTGTGATTGAACTAAAAATCAATCTCCTCAAAAAAACACGCGGATAAGCATTTTTCACAAAAACCTCAAAAGGTTTTTGCAAATTTGCCTGTAACGGAGCGGGATGACTAACTAATCTTTTGAACGCTGTTTTTTTGCGCTAATACTAAATTCGTTTTCATATATAAGGGATGTTCAGAATGATAGTTCATTCATCTTTGGCTGCTGGAAGGTTTAATGTATCAATCGAACATAACAGTATTTTTCTGAGTTCTTATGAATCTTGTATATAAAAATGCAACGCTATTGTTGGTCTCAACAAGCATGTGTCTAAAAGTTCATCCATCACAAACTGGGTGATATAACTGCCCATAGGAGTACCGGAAATCTGTAAAATTGTCTCTGATACGAAAAAAGGTTTGAGTCAAAAATGAAATCTATATTTTTAACGCACTCTGTAAGGGAACTTTTGGTATATGCAGAGATAGCTTGCCATCTTTTTCTTTCGACATCAAGATTGATGATTACATAATTTTGTGGAAGTTGTTTATTTTGAATAAACTCAAAAAATTTGAAGGAATCAGATACATAGTAATCATTGTTGAAATTGTACGGGTACAACATAATGAAAACAATGAAATTTAAATTTGCAACCACATTTAAACAACAAATTTGAACAAAAATGGCCGCTATATTTTCGGTTCAAAAAAAGTTTTGGTGAAACCTCGTGTATGTACCTGTTTTTTTGCCCCCCTGATGGTAAGGAACTTCGTTGCTAAATTTAATATCTTTTTGAATGTTTCTGCTGTATAAAACAATATGTAATATTTTCGTTGTTTTTTATTCCTCACAAGACGGATGAAAATGTTATCTCCAGTTGTTAATTTGTCATTTTTAACTCAGTTTGCACCATAAGTCATTAATCCTATTAGTGTTTGCAGATAAAATGTTTTGTTCATAATTTAGCATTGATGAAGGAAATAAACATTTCCGAAAGCTCGGCTCTAGCTCCTCACAAAACATCCCCAATAAGGTTTTCTGGAATCCTGCAGACGTTTGACTTGAAATAAACGGCTATGATTTCCCAAACATTTAATATTATCTCTCATTTTATGACGAATCGCTTTCAAAATGAAGTCTGGGTAATCTCTTTAAGCATGAATTGTTGTTCAATTAGTCAAGCACTAGTTTGCATTTTCCTAGATGCGAGAAACCACGGACGTTACGTCACTTACCCGAAGGCTATTAAGAAAATTCGCTTTTATAACATCCGTATCCACATTTTGAAGAACGTCCCTTATTTCCGAAGTTGTATTGCTGTCTGAAACCGATGGGTCTACAGCTTTGGCAAGATCGTAAGCGACTTGTTTCGGGTTTGTCTGGGTCGTAATGGCTAACGTAGTCAACGAGCATCCGCTTTGGCAAATCGCGCCTCTGAATAACCCTTAAAACGAAATCGATAGATGAAGTATCTCCCCAAATCCACCTTCCAAAAGTGTTTACCAGCCGCTTTCGGATTGGCCAAATGTGCTCCGACGGATATTCCACCCGCGCTTTGACCAACGATGGTTACTTTTTCGGGATCTCCACCGAAGTAAGCGATATTGGACTGGACCCATTTCAGCGCTTGCACTTGGTCTTTCAAGCCGGCGTTGCCCAAAATGGCCTCGTCTCCGGTAGAAAGGAACCCGAACAGTCCCAATCTATAGTTGAATGCTACTACTATTATACCTTCATTCACGAGGGCGTCTGGGCCATAAGCTTTATACGACCCTGATCCTAATATGAATGCACCACCATAAATCCAGACGAGCACTGGCAACCTTTCTGGGATCTATAAGGAAAAATATATGTCGAAGCTCATAGCTTTAAATGGTCGATATTTTCCCATATTTCGTTTTGGGTGTTTGGAATATTTGTTTTTGACTCGCAACAAAACACTCATCCGTATATACATCGTAAATACAAGAAATATACGCACATCATAAACTCACACATTCTAAACAACATTAACAATATTAACGCTTTTTTGAAGGACCTTAATGTGGGGAGGGACGTTATAGCATCATGTATATCATTAAATAATTACACTGCGTTATAGCTAAAAGATCTCTGGAAAGTTAACGAAGTGTGTCTAGGAACGCAATTTCTTAACCAATGACGGGTGTCTCGATTATGAATACCATTTCCTCTGCCAAGTTTAACAAACAAGTACGGGGTCTTACGGGGAGGAGACCCCGTATCATCTGCTCACCGAGTGCCCTGCCTTGACATGGACAAGATTGGGAGTCTTCGGAACGGCCCTGATCGATCCGGACTCAGTGCACGGTATTGGGCTAAAGGAGTTGCTGACCTTCTACAGGAGGGGCGGCATTCTGGACGCCCTCTAGAGCGGCCTGGGGGCACAACGGGCCCATCTGGTGGCCTAAGTGCTTGGACGCCCGAGAGGGCGCCCCCCTTTAATACCAATACCAATACCAATACGGGGTCTTATTGGAGTTTAGTGAAAATACAAAGGTGGCTAACTGAACTTTATATCGGTCCTACAGCTTAAGCCAACCCCAATCAGAGAGGCACTGAGAAAGTGGTCATACTGAGATTATAACTAAAATGCATTCTGAAGTCTTCGGAGTCTCTCCTTATCTGGGAAACTAACATAACACAGATTTTAAGTTTGACTTCTTTACTGAGAAAATGTTTATGTATATTCATAAACATGTCGTTATAGAATGATTTTCGTAATACCGAGCCAACATGCTTAGAAAATCGCAAGTCACCGACAAACCATAATCATAATTTTTTACACCTGTCTGAAGAAGGAAAAATAACCTCATCGTTTAGCGTAATCTTAAAAGAGGCATTTCCTGCAATATCTTCCCTTTTTTTCCAATCAATAACATCTGAGTTTTGTAAGTCTTCAATAAGAGGTTATGAGCCAAAGACTCCCCCTAAATTATTTTTAGATCTAAATTTATTTTACTAGCAACATTTAAAGCTTCACTAGCAACAAAAGATAACTGAGTATCATCGGAGTATAAATGAGATTTACAAAATTTAAGAAAAGTAGAGAAGTCAGGTGTATAAACTGAGGACAGAATGGGTGTGAGAATACTGCCCTGGGGAACACTCCTCTCCAAAACAATAGCATCTGAATAATTATTTCCCATTACTACCTTTGGTATCTCTGACCAAAATTTTTTTTTAAAAATGAAAGAGCAGTACCTTTTATCCCGAACAGTTTAGCTAGGAGAAGGAAATGATCGAAGGTGTCGAACGATTTTCTATAGTCCAAGAGTATGCGACAAGAGTTTAATTTAGAATCCGCTGCTCTCAATAAATCATCAATAACATGAGGCAAGGCAGAGGTCGTGCTGAGAAGAGGTCGAAAATCAGATTGAGTGTCAGAGGATTTTGTTATCGCATAATGACTAACGAAGTTGTTTAGCTGCAATTTTTTCAATAATCTTCGAGATGGTTGGCAGCAAAGTGATTGGTCTAAAATCGTTAATGTTATTTGGATACTCTTTCTTTGGGAAGGGTATAACAGCCTGCTTCCATGACTCCGGAAAAACTCCGGTCAGACACTTGATATGATCGACTAAATGTCAAAACAATAATTTTTATATCAATATTGTCTGAGTAAAGAGCTTTAACTTATATATATATATATATATATATATATATATATATATATATATATATATATATATATATATATATATATATATATATATATATATATATATATATAATTACTGTGCACTTAAAGCCTCTCCAATGCTTCTTATTATTTGTATATTTCTATTTTCAATCAAATTTTCAATTTTCAAATATATTTCTATTTTCAATATCTCGCGTGATGGAGTGTTCTGCATTAGATCCTGCAATTTATTGTAATATCCGTCAAGTATTTCATGTACCCGTATAATGTTCAGTTTAACAACAAAAGCTAAAGTTTTACTCATGGGGGAAAACTCTTAAAAAAGAAATATTTAAAAAATCTGTGAGCAGCTAGGTACTTCATGCATGGTTGTTTTTTCTTTTTATAAGAATGAGAATCACTTGTAGTTTCTTCTAAGCACTAAAATTTGGGTCAACTTTAACGGTAATTTCCTCGCGATCTGCCTACTCGATTTAGAGATGTATATGTTTTTTAATTAATTTTATTTAAATTTGATTTCTAGACATATGCGCGGTGTTTAAAGAAAAGCCAGTCTTATACCCAATTTTTGCCACATTCTATGGGAATCTCTATCAGTGTCATTTGTTTAAATCAATGCACTGTAATTGTGAGATAAAGACACGAATAAGAAAAAAAATTTTCAGGAAACTTAGAGCTATGCATTGACTTAGGCACATTTAAAAAATTGACCCAACGCTTACTTTCTTCGTTAATTTGAATGTGATATGTTTATTATCCTGATTGTCATGTATGTATCGCTATTTATACAGCGAGTGACCACGGAAGAAGTATGTACCACAGTCATGACAAACTCCGAAAGTTAAACGTAAAAGGTAAAGAAAACATATTATGTTCGCTATATTAAAACTTAGAAAAAATGTTGATATCAAAATTAAAAAAATCATATTTGGGAAGACCTTTAAATGTAATTTTGAGTAAAATTGTCAAATAAAGGAACAGTAATTATCACAACAATAAGTTATAATTAATTAATAAATTATAATTATTAATTATAATATAATTATCTTTTATACATTATTTGACTTTTGGAAAAAGTTGTTATAATACTATACCAAATAGCACTCGTAGCTCAATTCTGAAGACTTGTTTGTTTGTAATGTATCGCTATTTATATTATTGCATGACAATAGCTGTCGAGAACATGAAATAAAGTCTACTTATCCATATATCTATCTATAATGGACATGGTGGCAACCTCCCTGCTCAGCAGGTGATTAATAATCCTTTGTGTTTCGCTTCCTGCTTATTTATTACATGGCCTTTATTGTCATAAAATACAAATACAACGTTAGAAAATAATACATCCCACGAACACAATAGAGTTTTCATTGCATAAGATAACCTCGCAGGTGGAAAAAAGACCACACATACTGGGTACTATTTGCTAAACTATAAACTACTTGGACAACTTAAAACTATAACTCTAGAATTGAAGGCTTTTTTTTAAACCTGAATAGAACCCAAAAAAAAAAATGAAAAAGAAAACTGGAAAAAAAATCAAAAACATTAATAATTATGGATTTTGTCCCTAATAAATAAATAATAACTCTTAGATGATAACTAATTTCAACCCACTAAGTATACAGAGTAAATGTAGATGAAATAAAAACTAGAAAAAAATCATAAGCAAACAATGGATAAATGGATTAAATTAATAAATTTTAAATTATTAGTTGTTCTTCAAATCATCATTGAGCTAGCGCATAGTACAAGGTTTTAAGTTGGTCAAACTCTAATAATATTTACCTCTCTCGCGGGCTTGTAAACATTCACATACAAACAGTCTTCACTCTGCGGCATATAATTCGAGAATCCTATACAGTCGTCTCTGCTTTGATTGGCTTCCAGAATGCCGCTCCATGGTTGCGGCGGAGAAGGAGCCTGATTAAAAATACTTTAAACTTGGAAAAATCACATCGACAGATAAATGCATTTTTAAAGAAACTGCGCTTCCCAAGCACTAATATTGTTCAAAAATAATCAACCAAATCCTACGCATATTTTCAAATGTTGAAACAGGTAATAATAAAAAAGGGCCTATATAACATTGGAAAGAACAGGAAAAATTACTGAAATAAAAAAGCTTGTAAGGTAGTACAAGTGTCTGCCTACCTAGAGCTAACAAACTTATAAAAAGTATCTGTTCAAAATCGATTGACGGAAACTAAACTGCTATAATTGACTTAAAACTAATGTGTGTTTTTTTTTCGATGTATAGTACTTTAAGGTGGCATTACTGTTCAAGAAGGCGACCGATTTAACAGCTGTTAAGTGATTTATTCTCAGTTTGGTTTGGCTATTCATCATGAATAGACTTGCAATGCTTGCAAATAGTGCAATTTTGTTTCGAAAATAATGGTCCATCAGAGCAGTTAATTCGATTAACTATGGAACGTTTTCGCACCACGTTTACTCTTATTGATAACTCGCATCCCCAGAGACGCCGTACGCTGCGTACAGAACAAGCTATTGCTGCTGTAGAGCGTAGCATTGAGGAAGACCCGAATGAGTCCATCCGCCATCGAGCACAGGAATTGGATCTGTGTCCATCCACTTTATGGAAGATTTTGCGGAAGGATCTTGCTTTACGTGCTTACAAAATCTAACTCGTGCAAGAATTGAAGCCAAACGATCATCAAGTAAGGCGTAGAGTCGTCGAATGGGCCCAAAACGAGATGATTGCTGTTGTTCCCGATTTTCATAAGCGAATTTTGTTTAGCGATGAAGCGCACTTCTGGTTGAATGACTAAGTCAACAAACAAAACTGCCGCATTTGGAGCGAAGCTAATCCTCAAGTGTATGTCGAAACAATGTTACATCCAGAAAAACTGACTGTTTGGTGCGCTTTATGGGCTGGTGGAATCATTGGTCCGTACTTCTTCAAAAACGATGATGGCCAGAACGTTACAGTCAATGGTGATCGGTATAGAGCTATGATTACTAACTCTTTCATTCCTGAATTGAATAACCATGATGTTCAGGAGATGTGGTTTCGACAAGACGGTGCAACATGTCACACAGCTCGTGCCACAATCGATTTATTGAAAGACACGTTTAGTGACCGCCTAATTTCGCGTTTTGGACCTGTGAATTGGCCTCCAAGATCTTGTGATTTAACACCGCTAGACTACTTTCTATGGGGCTATGTTGGAAAAAGTCATCGAAAATTGGACGTCCAGATTTGAATTCATCCGCGCCAGCCGTGGCGGCCATATGCCAGAAATCATATTTAAAATGTAATGCCACAAGATTATCTTTCGGATAAATAAAATTCATGTCAATCGAATAATCCATCGTTGTTTTATTGCAACTTAAATTTCTATACATCGAAAAAAAAACCCCTTATTTACCTGTTTTTTAATTTTTTTCAATCTTACCTGAAATCTCAAATTTCCTAATGGCGGGCTAGCAAATGGAATCCCCTCAAATGCGTAGATGCTGCCACTGTCCGATGGAACCTCATGGCCACGAACTTGACCGTCAGGCAAGTCGATTAAAAGATCTGCAAACTAAATGATTGTCCTGTTACTGTTAGTAATGATCAAACGCTAACAAATTATTTTCAACGACGCCTATAACCACACTTTTTGTAACTCATGGGGAGTTCTTGTATAGTTTTTGGCCACTTCTTCTCAAAATAAAGTAATTTATTTTCATACAGGGCGGTCACAAATCACCATCAAAAATGTTTTTCTAATTAAGGAAGCTCACTGAATTTAACAGTTTTATTGGCTTCAGGATCAAATTCTGTATCATTTCATGTATATTTCTATTTGTTTATTACAAAAATTGGTATTTTAGAAGTTATGGCCAACTTTCTGCAACAACTCGTGTATTTTATTTTAAATCTAACTAAATTCTAAGTGTTTTTAAACATAAATTCCTCAAGTTCAATATAAAATCGAAATATAATGCAAGAAAATAGAACTTATTACTTAATACAAAACATTTTCTATATAACCTCGATCTTTGGCAATACAAGTTGAGAACGGTATAAAATGGCGCACTATCTTGTTGAAAACATTCCCTTCTTTAATATCGTCCCTAAGATGATCAATTAATGGAAATATATAAACAAATTGAAATATCTCTCAACATTCAAAATCACGTATTGTGTTTTTGATTCAAAACTCCAGAACAAAGAGACATTAAATATCTTATACAACTCTTAAGTCAGAAGGGTTTTGGAATAATGTTTAATTATATGGGCATATACATACAATACACAAAAATGACAAATACATACAGAAATTTTTTTTGAAATAATATATTCTTCATTTATTATTTTGATATTCCACACGTAATTGTTACTAATGAATTTTGTATCAAAACACTTAAATAACAAACGCCATATATATAGAAAACAGTCAATAAAGTAATGTGGGGCACAATAGATTTCCAGCCGTTTGAAATTTAATTTACCTACTTATTTTATTTTTGCGATCAAAAAAACTAATCTAAATTTACTTCAAAATAGTCTAATATATAGAATGTCTAGTAGTGTCTATTAGGGCTTTTTTAAAAGAGCTTACTCGATAATCTAGTTGATAAACAGTAACGCTACGCAGATAACGGAAGACAGTAATAGTAAACAAAAAAAGAAGTCAGCAAAATCCGCAGCTTGATATCTCACATCATAGGCAAAAATACGTATAAATATGAACAAATAAGCTTTGGACTATCTAATTTTTACAACAGGGTGCCAGTAGTGCTCCTTATTACGGCAATTTTCAGAAAATATAACACAGGAAGAAGCCATAATACTATACGGATAAATAAGTAATAAGGAAGATGTGAGGACAGGTGGCTTTGGAATCCTGAGGTTTATACTTCCCCAGACACAGGCGAGCTGAGCTATTTTTAATGGGAAGCAATAATATTTTGATATACATGAAGATGTTTCAAAAAAGTAAGTTGACTTACTTACCGCAGTAGAAACACAGAACACTATCGAAACTGCCCACAACATTTTAACGTTACTGTTTTGTTGTTCGACGAAAATTTTATTTTATACGGAGTGAGTGTTTATCATCGTCCTTTAATCTTAGTGACGATCAAGAACATGTGCGTCCTATGTCTAACTTTTTATCTAATCACCAATGATCTACTCAATTTTTCAATAATAATATATTAGAAGTACTTTAGTTTACTGCTATGATCGATGATTCATTTTTTTTTGTTAAAGAAAACTTCTCAAATTAACCAAACAAATCTGAATCACCCGACAGCACGAACCTTGATGACTCACAACTTCTATGCAAAAGTAGCGACAACTTTGATTTTTTAAAAAGGACAACCTGTATATTGTCACAGTACCCGTTGATTATTGCGAAAGTGTCATTTTTGAGTTCTTTCAATGGTTTCCCTTTGAATGGTGGGCTTTTGAAGTAAACGTTTGGTAAAATACATATTTTACTTGCTTTCTCTATATACTCCATATACTACAACTACCGTTTTCTTGGGGTTGACTGTGTCCCAGGAGACAGTTTTTACAGTAAGTCATCCACCGATATGACCCATAGCTGACTTTATAGTGGTCAGTCGTATAGTGCATTTTATGGCTAATCAAGATGACAAGCTTTGGAAAAAGACAGCGGCAGACGAAGTCCTTAGGGCGCCTATGGACATTTGTGCTTTGTTGAACATTACAGATCCAGATTGGGAAGAACACCGCAATAAAACAGTTGCAACTTAAACATTCCCGTTAGTTTCGGATGATCATAATTAAAGCAGATGACAGAGCAGAATGTATTAACGGTATTATGGGTACCATGGCACGAAAACAACAAAGGTAACAAAAGCCTACGAAGTAGTCTATGAAGGCTCCTCATGGCGCATAATGAACTCATTGCAAAATCAGAGATCAAAAAGTGGATGGAAGAAGAATGGTGTAATTCAAAGAAAAACCTAGGAATTCCTCAGAGATCCATCGGCCAAGAAATGGCGTTAAAAATAACGCGAGTGCTTTTCCGTTTGCTGGACGTAACCAAACCAGAAGCGATAAGCTACACCAAGAAGCTACAATCCACTAAGAAGGAGTTTAATCAAAGAAACGTCCTAGATAAAGCTCTATAGCTATGGAGAAAGTCTCTACACATCCTTAGGATCGCAGTGACGGATATGCCATAGTTATCACTATGGAAATGGAAATCCCACTATTATTATCTAACTTTTTTTTTCTTTGGTGACATTTTCTTAATGCTCCCCATCGAAAACCAAATAGGCTATATAGATTTTATCTTTTTTTTAATGCACCAAAAATTTTCATTAGATTATTTATTCCGTAATAAAAATTGGACTTTGCCTCCATCGAAATCTCGAATTGATCAACACTTAAGTTTGTGATTGCGTGATGCTGATACATTATCTCGATATGACAAAAATAATTCCACAAAGTTAGTGCTACAACTTATTTGCTAAACAGGTTAATTTGGTTTTGTTATGGTAAAAAATAGGACACCTGTTTTGAGATTAACATATTTTATTTCAAATTTTGTAACTAAAGTATAAAAAAAGTTTTAATTACTGGGCAGAGTATGAAAAACTGATTGATGAAAGGCATCTTAGTGCAAATTTTAAGGCTGAATCAGCAAAATACAAAGTTGCTACCAAACCACAAATAACAAAGTCAAATTGCCACTTGGAAAGAAGTAAATTCATTTTTTTAAATACTTAAATAAACCGCTGACGAAACTTTATTTTGTTATATTGGACTCCAGGCTATTGCTTTCTACGCGGAATTTCAAATTCCAGAAAAAAATGTATATGTTAAAATTCAAATCTGTGAATAAAAATTTCAGACATCAGTATAAAAATTCAGGCCAATTCTTAGCAGTCAGTTTTTTCTAGTTCAGTGGTATCATAAACATTTTGAAATCTGACGAAACTGACTCAGCGTTGATTCGTGTAAAATGGGTATTTTTCTGCCCCGCACGTAAACAGAGCGCCAACAACACCGAATAGAATTATATCCTCGAATTAATTAATATCTGCGTTATTTATCAATTCCTAAAACGGCGACCGGTTCCCCATTAACATTACAAAATTTGTACCGCCGCTGCTTTTTTGTTTTCTGCCGTTGTGACGTTCGGCGGCAATTTCGCAACGCAACCTGTAAAAAGTAGACTGTCGATTTCCTGCGAAAAATCAACGAGTCCTTCGTCGGTTCTATTTTCAATAACAATAACGGCCACCGCTTAGCTTTTATGGTCCTTTTTTCTAGGCCTCGGGTATACCCGGCTCCTTCCTCTTTGGATACCGTCGGTGCGGTGTAGGCCCTGATCGAGATGCACGAGTTATAGGCCCAAGCCCACCCTGTACGGTGACGTTTATTCAAAGGATCAATAAGTCAACAGGCTTACCTTCAATAGAATTGAGACATCATCATTTTACTTTGGCTTAAGGATTGTAACAAATAGACGCTCATTCGATATTCTGTACTTCTAGAAATAAGACCTATTTCCTAAGTAGACGTTTTTAAAAAGAAGTTTCCGGACTTTTGAAATATAATTCACTCGTTCGAGGTTTACGATAGATTGAACTGAGGTGGCTTTTACTTGATGAAAATCTATTTAACGAAATAAATAAGAACTAAAAGTTCAAATTTTCACGAAATTATATATATTCACATAACAATTGTTTCGACAAAACCGCGTCTTTATCAAATGTGATAAAGACACGATGTTGTCGATGCGATTGTCTTGTGAATATATATAATTTCGTGAAAATCTGAACTTTTGGTTCCTATCTATTTTGTTTACGATAGAATTTATTTTTCAAACACCCAACTGAAAGGTTGAATTTTACTTGTGGAAAAGAATTGCTAGAAAAGAGTTATTTACTTGAACATGCCCTACAGGCCACACCTCGAAAATTACTGTACTCACTGCTTCAGAAAAAATCACCGTAATGATAAAATATTCATTGAACTGAGGTGGCTTTTACTTGAGGAAAATCCATTTATTATTTAATTGGTTTTGATAAAATATTCATATTTATAAACCCCAATTTATGGGCATTTAAATGCGTACAATTTTTAGAACATATGAATCGAAATGAATAAAAAATGTAAATATTCACTTTTACTATGTGAAAATTATGAACATTTATTAATATAAATGAAACAAAAGAAAATGGCAATAAAAGCGTTTTATTCATAGATACACACTTCGATACGGACGTAGACACACACTTTAGATATTTTAATGAAGAGGCATTATTTATTGTACCACTTTTTTTTAATACAGCAGTGGCGGGCCTGCGGAATTTGACAGCATCCAGAGAAATTAGTTTTTATTTTTAAGTGAAAAGGGTGCGACGGAATAAAAACAAAATTAAGAGATCGAATCTGCTCATAAATGCATGCAAATGTCTTTTTTTTTTTAATCAGTGACGTGCCATTGACCGTCTATGAACAGATAATGTTTTGGTTAACTAGGTCGCCACTGCACTGGCCAAATGGAGGACGTTTGTTTGTGATAAATAGAATATCTATCTAAAACAAAATATTTAGTTTTTAGCTACCAACTAAATATTACTTTTACAGGATAAATAATGCATTACCTACTATTAGTAAATCTTTACAAAATTGTTAGTTTTGGTTAGATTTGGTTAGTTTTGAGAAAACCTAGATTCTTTGCAGTATACCTCCAATGTTTCTTATTAAACGATCTCTCCGCTCTTTCCCCCATAAAAAGTCCAAATTATTTAAATCTGGTACTTCTTCTTATAATATTGGTAAATCTGGTTCTTAAAATAATTTCCCGAAAACAGTTCTTGAAGTTTAAATTCTGCGACTGTATGGGGGTTTTCATGGGCCCTAATACGATTATTGTGGAAATTTCTGATTGTATTTCTTAGCTTGACCTGTAAATAGTATTTCTTGGTCAAACAAGATTCATAAAATAGCCGCTAGTTAGTCAAAAGCAGATTAGCCAATCTGTTATCTCTTATTCAACTTTTTCCAAAGCAATATTTGACCCTTGCCCACCCTTAATTTGACGAGACAGAAAAAAAAGTTTCTTTATTTAGAGTAGATTACGTTAAAACTAATTTTGATATAGGTTAATTTGGAATATTTTTTAGAAAAACCGTTTTTGCTATTTACAGTAGAGGTTACGCCCCCTAGCGGTCATTTTCTCTTGACCTATAAATATTTTTTTCCAAGTTGTAGGACTAACGATTCCTGAGATATGACCGGCGTCCTTTGTTAATGAGAAACCTCGTACAATAGAAAATCGTGCAAAATTTTCCAAACCAAGGCGTGCGAGATGTTCAGATTATTTCCAATTTTTCAAATACTAAGGTCAGGACTTCCATCATTAGAATATAATACCGCCTTTTCAATATCTACATTTGTTACAGTTCGATGGGACCCTCAAGTACTTGTTTGAGTCAACCTTCTATGTATATTTGAAAATCTGGTATGTCTCTGTCCAAACCATACATAAAATGCATATCTGCCAACTCCTCATTTTAAGCAGCAAATTAATAAGACGCGAAGAACTGAATTTAAAAACTGATGTCAAACAACAATAACAAATATCTAAGAATGGGAGGTTATTATTAATTTATAATTCAATGGTAAAACAATTTCATTTAGGTTGTTTTGTATACGGCAGCACTATACCATCACCGCAAGCGTGAACATCATCATTGATTTTTCCTAACGTAAGTTGGCCCAAGAATATATCTTTGATTCCCATCACATGTATAAGTACAGAATATATCGTTTTCACTTAAGTAAATAAATAAACATTTTCATTACTAGAGTGAGGATTTTATGTAAAAAACATCTTTTTTATTTATTAGGAATTTCAACCCAATATTTTGGATATAACCGTTTTAGAATGAAATAATTAGATTAACGATATAAAAAAACTACATATTTCGCATAAAATGACGCTTTAGTACATATTTTTCGAGCATAAAATCACATATTTTCGACATATTCATTAGTGTATTACTGGGATTTTCCAAATGGATAAGATGTCAGTTTCCATTAGTTAGTTCTTTAATTTCGAACATAAAAAAAT